TCCCACTTTTTAGGACTTGAGATTTTCCGTCGCCTCTATCAATATGGGGTAGGATCGACAGATTATACTGATTTTAAGTGTTCTAACGCTTAGGATTGCAACCACGTCGAAGGAGACAGTGTTAGCGGATAAATGAGATGCGGCTGAGAGGTTGTCTCGAGGCGAGATCGTGAAGCCTTGGTCGGCCATTCCGACGGTGGTTATCATCGATATTCACCAATATTGTAATAGTTCGTCATCCCTTGGAACCACCTCCATATCAGGGGGAGCTTTGTGAAATGATTTTATTTCAATGTTATTTTCTTTTTAGTAGCACTTGTTTCTGTTTTAGTCCGAGTAGATTTGGTTTGAATGTTTGGATTTTTGGAGTTCTTTTGATAGGCAGGGTTTCAGTTCCGATCATTTTAGGCCTAAATTGGTTCGTTTCAGGTTTAATGAGTCATGTTGCTTTGAATGAGGTGGCTGACTCTAAGTCTACTCTTAGGATTCACAATTGGATCTATAAATTCTGTTTGAAGGTTGTGTTGTATGTGTTATCATTTTTAATATAGCGGCCTCTCTTTTATAAAAAAAAAGAAGTAACAAGATTAAGGGTCTGTTTGCAAAAGCTAAAAAAAATTAAAATTAGTTTTTAGTTTTAGCCTAAAAAACTAAAATTAGTGTATTCAAGTGACAACTTTTACTTAAAAAAGTGATTCTCGACTTTTGGTTGAAAACTGTTTTTTACTTTTTCTATTACACAAAAAACACATATTTAACCAAATACTATCAACTTTAACTTTTCAAAATCACTTTTTTCTTAAACACTATTTACTTTTACCGTTAATCATTTTTTCCAAAATCACTTCCAAAAATGCTTTTATAAAGCAAAATCATTTGCAAACACTCCCTAATAAATAAAGTAATAAACACACTCAAGTTGTAGCACTTCTGAAATATTTGTCTGTGATTCACCATAAGATTGTTTGTTAGCTCATTATTCTTTGATAAGCTTAAAATCTGCTTTTATAATTACACTCACCCATGGTTATTTTTTGGATTATTATCTCAAAATATCCTCAACTATCATCAAATTCACAAATTTATCTCATACTTCCACTTTTATTAGAAAAAGACTCATACTTCAACATTTCTCACAATTACACTTCATTGGATGGATTGGTAAAACTTAAGAAAAAAATCATATTTATATTTCATTTTTTTCACTTCTTTCTAGTTTTAAGTTTACAAATTTGTATTTCTTATATCTTACTGTATTGATAAAAATGTGCGTTTTAAAAAAAAAAACTAAACAGAAAAGCATGATTGTTGAAAAAGATGAAGTTTGAGCCTCTTTTTTTTATAAAAATTAAAGAATAAGATATATTTGTAAATTTGATGATATATAGTTTGGACAAAATAAGCTAATACGGAGTAATACTTATTTTTTTTGAACATTTTTGGAAGCTATTCCACTGTAGACCGATTTCACGATTTGAGTATGTAAATAGTTCGAAAAGATGAAATGACTCTAACTATATGATTAGAATCCCATTTTTTTCTTAAACTGCACTTCTGATTTCACGCTCAATGGTATTTCGATCAAACTATGCAAGAATGAAATTACTTTTTATGCTTAATTTGGTGAAGATGACTCTTTTAGCTATTTATATATAATTTTTATTTTATTTTATTAATAGAGTCTATATATTATAAATACGGACTATAGTTTTTTCATGGGGGAATTTGACTTTGCACCCCATGTTTTAGGTCATATTAGACTTTGCACCCCATATTCAAAATCATTAAGATTTGCACCCCATTAGCTAAAAAATTATGAAGGAGTGGGGTGCAAAGTCAAATGATTATATAGTGAAATAGGGTGAAAATATTAATGATTTTGAAAATGGGGTGCAAAGTCCAATATTAACCAAAACATGGGGTGCAAAGTCAAATTCTCCCTTTTTTCATAAATAAACATATTTAGTGCGCGTTTGGTGACCCTATTTCTTGGCTTATCGAGCTCATCAACCAACTTTTTCACTAAACATGTAACTTTTACTTCGTGCACTGTTATGTAATAATAAGAAAAAGTAAGGTTGAAGTTACTTTTCTAACTGTATTGGCTGAAGTTACTGTAGAGGATCATTTTAATATCTTTTATAATTTTTTCTTTACTTTATTTATAAAAAATATTTTAAATATAATTTTTTATAAATCAAGAGAATCAGTCAATCCAGTCACTTCAACCAAATCTTCATAAATTTATCATATTCAGTCAATTCAACAATTTTAATGTTACCAAACAGGATCTTAGTCAATCTCACCGTTTTTGCAATAAACTATGTAATTCAATAGATTCAAATTTACACAATTAATACTTTTTGGGGGTGCTTGGTAAATGACGTTTATGCCGAATAATGGCAGTTTGACCACTTTCAGCATTTTTAATAGGTGAAAAAAGCCGTTTGGTAAATAGTGGCTCGGCACTAGCGTTTTTGAACGAAAACACTGAAATGAAAACGCTGATAATAGGAGAGTTTTGGTTTGGCGTTTTGAAAATTGGTGTTTTCTAGTAATGGCCAAACAGCTAAATTACTAAACATCTTCTAACAACCCGCCAATTTATTCCGCTAGTCAACCAGCTATTGACAACCAGCTAACATAATCCGCTACCCGCTAACCGCTAACCGCAGAATGCCAAAACACGCCCTTTATGTTTTTTTACTATCACTATAGTGTCTTTACTATTACTAATCCTACTATTATATTAGTATTACTATCATTATTGTTATTATAACTATTATATTATAGTATCATTTTGTCAATACTACTTTTATATTTCAAGTACATATAACATGTGCAGTTTTTATAACTTTTAATGTTTATTTTTGTTAGAAAATGTAAAGGTATGTAATGTTCTTGCATGTATTAATATTGAAATATTTATAGTAATAATTAAAAAATATTCCCGTTCCGTTAAGGTTGTCCCATTTTTTTCTTTTCGGGAAATCCCACTAATATTTTCCCATATCAATTTGATAAGGTTTATGTGACTCTAAATTATTTTTACTTTATTCTTACTTTATCAATTCAATACCGACCACACAAATTAAACCCTCTTTTCTTAATAACCATGTCACTCTCTCATGTCTCAATGTTAGTGGGACGAAGGTAGTATCAATTTCATTCATGTCGGCCCACTTTAGTTTTTTCTCAACTAGACGAGACACGGTTTTTTCGATTTGATTTTCATTTTTTGGTTAAAAAAGTCAGTCCTAATTTTAATGTGTGTGTGTGTGTATATATATATGTATATATATATGTATATATATATATATATTGGTTCAAGTGAGAAATGCATCTAATGTGAGAAATGAGAATGAATCTCAGCCATTGGATTTACGAAGTTGCACTAAAATTGGCTTTATGTTGCAGTAATATTTAAATTTTGCACATGTTGCACTAAAACTATTTCATGTTGCACTAATATTTGACGGCGTTGCACCGAAATAGCTTCATGTTGCACTAGACACGTGTAATACGGATTTTTCAGAAGTATTTACAGAAATGTCACCTTGCTAGATTGCATATTTCAGTGCATCATGAAATCATGAAGTGTCTTTTACTGCAACTTAGTCGAATCCAATGGCTGAGATTCATTCTCATTTCTCACCCAAATGGTTCTTCTCACTTGAACCTTACCCTATATATATATATATTCGCTAGACTTTGTAGTCTCTTTTTATAGTATCTGTTTAATACTTCATGTTAACATTCTTGATTGGGATGAGTTTCGAACCTGTAACCTCTTTCTTGAGAGTGTCATAGTAATTCCTCACATATATATATATATATATATATATATATATATATATATAGAGAGAGAGAGAGAGAGAGAGAGAGAGAGAGCTCTTCCTGTCCGGAATATGCACCCATATTCCGGACCAGTTAACTTGCAAAAATCATTTGATGATCTTCCCGGTTGAATTTTTTGCTGAAATTTGATATGGATGAACTAGACTTGATGAATGATGAGTAACATACAAAAAAAAATTGGGCCAAAAATACAACCGGGTACCACCTCAAATTGAGGTGGCCGGATAGGGGAGTGGTCCGGTCTGGCCGGACCTGAATACTCCTATACACACACACACACACACAAGAATGTTCAGGTCCGAACGTTCGGACGGGAGCCTCCGTCCAAACACCGCCGTTTGGGGCGGTTCCCTGTGGAATTTTTCGATGAATTTTTTTGTGCATGTTCCTCATCGAGTCTAGTTTGTCCATACCAAATTTCAGTTCAAAATTCAATCGGAAAGGCATTCAAATCATTTTTTGAAGTAGACTGCATTTTTATATGTATATTTTGACGCAATCAACTTCAAAAAATTATTTGAATGTCTTCCCGATCGAATTTTGAGTTGAAATTTCGTATGGACAAATTAGACTTGATGAAAAACATGCTAGAAAAATTTCATCAAAAAATTCCACCGAGAAGTGTCTCAAATGACCATGTTTGGACGGCGTTCGAACCGGGAGCTGCTGGATAGGAGCATTCCTCTGTATATATATGCACGCACATATATATGTTCACACATTCATACGGAGTACTCCGTATAAGAGACTGTTAGACACATGAAATAAAAAGGCGTAGTTTAATCAAAGAAACAAACTTACTACTTATCCAGTCTGTCAAAAAGGAATTTCGAATTCCATGTTTTCTTAATTTAACTTTTTTCATTTTCACCATGTTATTGTCCCCCTAGCCCCACCACAAGAAAGAATTGAGCACCATAAACTGAACGTCACCTCAACATTTGAGAGCCAGATTAAAAAATGCATAGGGCCTCTGTAAGTACCGGGGACAGAGTCCCACTCTCTATCTGTCAGATTGTGATTATAGTCCAATTTACATCCTCCCATCGTGCCGTCCGGTCGGTGTTGGGGGGCCCTCAGGGATGGGGTGTCATCCTTTTTTTTTTTTGAGAGCCAGATTAAAGTAGTAATAATATTTGTTTGCAAGGACGCGTTACTAATTTTCAGTTTTTCACACTGGTCGCTCCTTCAACTCCTCAGAAAACCGTTCTGGTTTTTGGAGTTGGAAATCCTCTGGAGTTTCTCAACTTTGGGTTTTAACTTGATTTCTTATACAGAGGAGGAGATTACAGAGAAATGAGTGGCGGTGGAGCAGAGGAAGAGACGACTTTGGAGTTCACGCCGACATGGGTGGTCGCCGCCGTTTGCACGCTCATCGTCGCCGTCTCGCTCGCTGTCGAACGCCTCCTCCATTTCACTGGATTGGTCTCTCCTCATTTTACCTCTTGCTTTAATAGTTGCATTCCAAGCTTTAATAGTTAATTTCCCACCCGATTTGCATTCCAAGCTTGTTTTGCTGTAACTTTTTCGGTTTCCTGACAATGTATGCAGTATCTGAAGAAGAAGAATCAAAAGCCTCTGTATGAAGCTCTCCAGAAAGTCAAAGAAGGTTCTTTCAAAGATTTGACTTTTCTATAATCATACTACATATATGTAATTGTGATGATGCTTATAGTTTATTTTATGAATTATGACATCTATATGGTATTGATGACTGCAAAAATGTTGTGATTGTAGAGCTGATGCTGTTGGGGTTTATATCCTTGCTGTTGACTGTGTCTCAGAAGACGTTGACCAAGATTTGTGTGACTGAGGATGTCATGCACCACTTACTCCCTTGTGCACTTGAAGATGGTAATTCCACTTCATCAGATGTCTCAGAAACAAAATCCCATAACCGCAGGTTGCTCTCAGGAGAAAGTGGTGTTGGTTACTGTGCTGCAAAGGTATCAAATTTCCTGTTTTGGCTCACCCTGATTTAGGGCATATGGCTACAGTGATTTAGGGGGTATTCTCAGATCAGAAGTTTAAAATAATTTCCTAAAAAGAACTGAATAATGGAGTACTTGCTATTGTGAAGTTCAGCTCCAATAAAATTGGAAACATTGACTGTCTATCACTGAAATAAATTTGAATGTCTATACAATTGTTATACAGTATACGTTTTTTTTAATTTATCCCGTCTAATACAAAACAACAAACTCATATATATCGTGTCTGAGTAATTCCACAGGTTGACTTTTAGGATGAAACTTCAAATCATAATATATTACTAGTATGATTTAAGCTTTAGTAATGAGCACACAATATTCAAAATTTGATATGCTACAATGAGCCAAGTCATCCCGTATTGGTTGAACACAAAACTAAAAATTCACTCATAAAGCCTCTCGTATAAGGTTGACTTTTAGGGTGAAACAACAAGTCTTATAAGGTTTAAGTTTCTTTTTCAATCAAACATCAATGAAAGGTAATACTCCCCCGTCCCTCCATCCAAAAAAAGTTTTGTTTTAAATGCATTTTTGAAAAAAGCAGAGAGTCAACTTTGGTCAAACAAAACTAATTATGATGTAATTTTCAAAAAAACAAGCCACTAACAATTTGCCTAAGATAGATTTAGTTAAACAAAAAAGTTAATGAATTAAAAAAAAACTAAGCTGTACACTAGTCAATCACGATGCTATTTTGTGTGGAGACAGTATTATTCAGTTTAATTTGAAATTTGATTATATTCCTAAGCACACTGTCCTGATAAGTTAGGAAGTCAGATTATAATGCCTTTTTATTTAAATGTCTCTTACAGCATAAAGTCCCATTATTATCTCTAGAGGCTCTGCACCACCTACACATCTTTATCTTTGTCCTTGCAATTGTGCATGTTACATTCTCCCTTCTTACCATTGTATTTGGAGGAGCAAAGGTGAGTTCAGATATTCGAGAATACTACAGTTTCATGCACTACTCCTTTTATCTATTCAATATTTTTAAATTGTTTATTCTTCAAATTTGTAAAATCATGTCATAGATACGCCAATGGAAGCGCTGGGAAGATGCCATTGCCAAGCTTAATACTGAAAATGGGAATGGTACAGTTTACTGCTTATGTTAATTCTTTCCGAGTCTGTACACAACAGGTGCCCAAGTGTGTGCTTATATGTAGCGAGTGGCCCAACCTGAAAATGCCTTGGCCCAATCTGCACTATTGGCAAAGCCCACTGGCTAGATTGGGGCCCTCTATTGGATGTAACTTATAACTGATCTTATATTTCTATGAGTTTCTTAGACCTATGACTGGAATGCTTTCATACAATAGTGCTAATGGAAAGTGCTTGGTTTACTGCTTATGGAAATTCATCACCTTTTTGCCACCACTATTGGCAATAGATTTTCCCACTTTGAAGCCTTCGACTATTGTATCAATGACAATTTTAATATCCGTTTTTAATTTTTTTTCACTTTGTTCTATGAATATTGAGACCGTGACACTACCGTTTTTACCCGTCTCAGTATTTTTCCTCTTTTAATCTGACTATTGTGATAGTGATACTTTTGGCACTCGTCTTTTCATTTTGCCACAATCACTGGATGACCAAAAATCTCACTATCACAATAGTTGAAGGGTCATAAGTGTCACAGTCACAATGATCAGAGAATTAAATGTGAAAAATTAAAAGACAGGTCTCAAAAGTGGCTCTTTGAGAATAGTTAGAGGACTAAAGTGAAAAAACTGAATGATATACCAAAAGTATCATTGTCACAATAGTCGAAGGACTAAAAGTGGAAAATTTCCTATTGGCAACATTTCATTTGCTCAAAACATTTTTCTGCAGTAGATCTGCACTCAACTAATCAACTTGTGAGAAAGAAAACACTCCCTCTGTCCTATTCTACCCTTTTTGTATCCATTTTAACTTGACATAGATAATATTATTAAATAAGATTTAAAATTTCTTAAAATGTTTTTCTTTTGCAGCTGGGAATCCGGGTCTCACCCATGTCCGTCAACATGATTTTATCAAGAATCGCTATGTGGGTATGGGTAAACGGTCACTCATCTTGGGTTGGCTGGTATGTTCCATAACCTTTTTCCTCTATTTTCAGAATCTGCTGTAAACAAGTATGTGGGAGGATAGTTGCTATAAATATGACTATGAGTGACTAACTAACCTTTTGGTGAATTTTCAGCACTCTTTCTTGAAGCAGTTCTATGGTTCTGTAACCAAGTCAGATTATGCAGCTCTTCGTTTGGGATTCATTACAGTAACACTTCTCATGTAGCTGTTTTGCTTTTCACACTTTAGATGATCTTCATTTCATTTATTAACTATTTTCCTGCAACAGACTCATTGTAGGGGAAATCCAAAGTTCAATTTTCACAAATACATGATCCGTGCACTGGAGGATGATTTCAAGATAGTTGTTGGCATTAGGCAAGAGGCTAAGATGGATTATTATATTGTTGTTGTTTTTGTTATCACTGATTTTTAGCTTTTAATAGTCAATGTTCTGCACTTCTCTGGTCATTAATTCATTATCATGGAAGTTGATCTGTTTTATTTATTATGTGATGCAGCTGGTATTTGTGGGTATTTGTGGTTATTTTCTTATTGATGAATGTTAACGGTATACCATTCTAACTCGTTATGGTTTTATTTTCTTGGCAGTTGCAATTATATTCTTCAGTTCTTCAAAGATTAAAATTATATTCATTTTGTTTTTTACAGGTTGGCATACATATTTTTGGATCGCATTCATTCCGTTTATTGTGAGTGACATTTCTCTGTTAGGCTTTTGTTTTGTTCTTATTATGCTATTTGTATGGCACAATGAATGCTTTTTGGTTCATATACTTTGCAGCTCCTACTTGCTGTTGGGACGAAGTTGGAGCATGTTATAATGCAATTGGCTCATGAGGTGGCTGAGAAACATGTGGCGATAGAGGGCGATTTGATTGTCAAACCTTCTGATGAGCACTTTTGGTTTGGGAGTCCTCAAATTATTCTATTCCTCATACACTTCATTCTTTTCCAAAATGCTTTCGAAATTGCATTTTTCTTCTGGATATGGGTGAGCTAATTGTTTGCACCTCATCTGTGATTGTGCTAACTGCGGAATATGTAGTGCTTCTGCTTAGTATCTTGTTTTGTAACTCTTAGGTGCAATATGGCTTTGATTCTTGCATAATGGGGCAAGTCCGATTCATTGTCCCTAGGCTTGTCATAGGGTAAGGAAAAATATTCATGGGTATATTTTTTTGAGCCCCTCATTTGTTCAGCTTTAGCAATTTTAGTTCATCATTTATATTTTTTCAAAAAATTTATAAATCTCTGATTGTACACTATGATGCGCCCGGTGGAATTAACCATCACTAATAATTTTTGCAAAACTTAACCACGGTGAACTAAAATTGTTAAGGTCACATGCCTAAGAGACTAAAAGCACTTAACTCAACATTTATTTTATAGTTATGAGAATTGACAAGTTTTATTGTTATTTTTTTTTTTTTGATGAAAAGTTTTATTGTTATTATTAATGTGAATTGCGAAGCTTGAATATAATTTTAATAAATTTACTCTTTTTTTCCAGTGTAATTATTCAGGTGCTATGCAGCTATAGCACATTGCCACTCTATGCTATAGTGACACAGGTGATTAACTGATTATAGTGTGCAAATAGCCCCCTATCCCCATTTATATTTCATTTTATATCCTTGGTTTGACTTGGTATGAAGTTTAATAAAATAAAAAATGTTTGCTTGAAATTTATTTAGTATAAAAGTGATGAATATGAACCACAGTTTTTTACTCAATAGCAAAGAGAGATCATTTAAGAATGACACTGAAAAGGAAATTATATTTCTCTATATTACTACTTCGAATCACACATTATGATTGTTTAGTTAAATTTTAAAGTATAATAAATATGTTTTATATATCAAAAATTAATTATTTAACCAGTCACAATGAGTGATACATGGAATTAATGAATGATTATTTCTTCAACAGATTTGCCATTTTACCTTTCATGAATAATTTCTTTTTACTTTCTGATTTTGTCTACCATTTGTACAATGAATGATGTTCTATAGTGTTGTTTCTAAATATGCAATTTGTAATTATGAATACTAATATACATATTAATAATAATTAGCTATAATAAATTCTATCATCAGTCAAACCTCAAATATTTTGCTTATCTTGAGGATTGTAATTGTGAGGATCCTCTCTTGATAAAAAGGGGACAAAAGAAATATATTTTAATATATATAAAATGACATAATCTTACTCACTAGTCATGACTTACCAGTTCCTTTAAAAAAAAAAAGTCACGACTTACCAGTTCTTCCCTTCCATTTTTGTTTTGTTTATGTGTGTAGATGGGAACATGTTACAAGAAATCAATTTTTGATGCACACATGCAAGCCAACATTGTGAATTGGGCTCAGAAGGTGAAACATAGAAAGGGACTGAAATCTGCAATGGGAGGTGTGGCCAAGCTGGGCCAGGAGGGTGGTGGTTCAACTGATGGATCCTCCACAGGTGTGCAAATGGGAGGTGTGGTACGCAAGGAATCTGTTTCACCAGATCATGGAGGAGGAAAGTAAGTAGTGTATTGCCTCTGAATGAGCATGCATACAAACTAGAATGACACTGCCAATTTAAATATATTATGATATATATGTGTATGTATGTGGTAGTATATAACAAACATACTGGTAGTCGCTACGGATTTTGTGGAATATTTCTGGTGGCACAACATTTCATTTTTAACGCCATTTGCTTCTCAGCTGCTCCATTGTAGGGGGGGCCTATGTAGATAGAGGTTGTACGAGTTGCCAGTTATAGGTGTTTCTAATGGATGAGACAATTCTATAGGCTTGCACTAGTCTTTTATGAGGCACATATTTGTTGGTTTCTCTAGTTAAGAGTAGAAGATATATATATATACATTGATAACAAACTAACCTTCTAATATCAACCAGCTTTTTGTCCTGGCAAATAACTTTTTAACACCATCTAATAGACTATTTAACCATCTTCAGTTAACTATAAACCAACATTCTATTCTAATTAATTAGTTTGATTTCCTATATTGTTCAAGCATGGCAATATATGTATCAAACTAAGCATTGAAACTAGTTCAGCTTGGCTAGGTCGAAACATGTAAGAATATCAGTCATTTGATGGCAAGAGAGATTAGTTTGCCTTCTATTCTCAATAATGAAGTGCCCTATCTGTCTTGATATGCTTTGCTCTTTCATAATCAATTTGAATTTTGGTAACTCCAATTGAAGCGGTGGTCACATACTCACACCCAATGTGAATTGTCTATCAATATGCATCCGTATATACTTCGAGAGTTCGCGGGGACTGAGACTGACTATGAGCCCGTTTAATGACCTTGTTTTTCAGATTATCAGGCTTATCAGTCAACATTTTACCAAACACGTAACTTTTGATTTCACGCTCTGAATTGTGTAATAATAAGAAAAAGTAAGGTTAGAGTTACTTTTTTTTGGCTGTATTGGACTATTGGCTGAAGTTACATTAGAGGATCATTTTAGCTATTTGTTCATATAATTGTTTATTTATTTTTTTAATAAAAATATTTTAAATAGATTTTTTTCATCAATCAGCAAAATCAGTCAATCCAGCCACTTCAACCAGAACTTAATAAATTTCAGCAGAATCAGCCGATTCGGCCAATTTTAGTGTTACCAAACGGCTCTATATGTTTTAGGGTACACTAACTCCTTTCCACAATCCTTTCAGACATTTAAGAATAGTATTCATTGCCTCCATGTGATCAATAAAAGTATATCTCGTAAGTAAAAGTTGTATTCTCTTTTCCATAAGTACGCTTCTGTCCCTTCGAGGTTTCACATAATCAGAGTTTAAAGAGAACAAATAATAATCAATAGTTGAAGATGAACGCTCAAGGGACTGCAAGAGTGTATGACATAAGTGGACTGTTCATCTTTCAAATTAAGTGAGATAAGCCTGTAATGACATTTGTGGGTTGCTTAGGTAGCATTTCGAGTTTTTTTTAAATACTCGCAATACATGATGTCACCACTAAAAGGAAAATAAAGAAAATAAAGATAAAAAGATAAGCTATTCCAATCTATAACATGAATCGCCGGACACAATGTTATGTTGTTAAAAGATCTATTGTAGAGCACAAGAAAGAAAGAAATAAAGAAAGAAGAAACTAGACTTATATTCTTACTCCCAAATTTTCAACTACATTTATCTTATTAACCTGTTCAAAATATTATGTGCCTTAGTTTTGTCCAAGATAGGGTAAGTTTGACACAACTTGCTGAAAAGATACTTTAATAGACTTTTTAGTAACTGTTAGCTTTTAGTGACTGAAAAGATTTTAAAAGTAAAAGGTGATAGTTGTTTGGTAAAAAGCTGACTGTTTGATTTAGTTTTGTTCGGTATACAAGCTGTTGGGACATATCAATGCTAAAAGTCACAAACTTTTCTCAGATGCTACTCGTTGTAGCATCTAAAAAAAAATCTTTTATTTTTTGAAAAGCTCTTAAAAATCATACCAAACATACAACTAGAAGCTTTTAAAGGTTTTTTAAATAGTACTTAAGCCTTCCAAACATAGGCATAAGGTATGTTTGACACAACTAGTTGAAAAGATACTTTTGTGAGCTTTTTAATAACTGTTAGCTTTTAGTGACTGAAAAGTTCTTAAAAAGAAAAGGTGGTAGTTGTTTGGTGAAAAACATACTGTTTGATTCAGTTCAGTTTGGTATACAAGCTGTTAGGACTAATTAATACTAAAAGTCACGAGCTTTTTAAAGATGCTACTTCCTGTAGCATCTAAAAAAAGATCTTTTAATTTTTGAAAATTAAAGCTCTTAAAAATTATCATGCCAAACATATAACTAGAACCTTTAGACACTTTTTGAACTGTACAAAAAGCTAGATTGTGGAGGCTTATGCCTGCCAAACATAGTCATAGTCTTTAACTTAAAAGTTACTCCTTTTGTCCCAATTTAAGATTATCACCTCCATTTTTAGGAAAAATTAAAAGTGTTAAACGATAACTGTACCCATTTTTTTTTAGTTATATCTATATAAACAATAATAAACACACTCTTAATAACACATGTTCGGATATTGACTCAATACCATTGAACGGGCCCAAATGTGCTGTGAAGGCCCAAACAAGTTAAGTGGGTGCCACATCGTGGGCCCTATCAGGTGACATCAAGAGAAGCCACACAAGCCACCGAAGCCACTCATCTAGAGTAGGGGTGGTTCGGTACGGTATACCGAATATTTTCTCTGATCTCATACCTTTGTCGTACCAAAATTTTCGGTATACAAAATATATATACCGTTACCTTACCGAAGTTTCGGTATACCGAAGTTTCGGTACGGTAACGGCACGATATCGGTAAATTATCATAGACTGATAAAATACACTAAATCGGTGTTACTAGCGACATATTTAATTCATTTTTAAAATGTTTCAAAATACAATTAATAATCTATTGATGTCATATTCAATATTGAAGAATAATTATTTTTAGTGTACATGGTATGTAAGTAGTTCAACATGCCACGTAGGGGTGGACTCGGGCCGGTTCGGGCCTGGGCTCGGCCGAGCCTCGGTTCATGAAAGGGGAGGCCCGGAACCGGCCCGGGTAACCCCCGGGTCGGGCCGGGCTAGGCCGGACCTCGGTTCAATTTATATTTTTTTTGGCTTTTCCTAATTAACCCCCAACCCTCCCCGCTCACCCCCAAACCACCTCAAATGACCCAAAATACCCAGCCCAACCCAAAAACCTAAAAAAAATTCAAAAAAAAAAAAAGAAAAATAAATAATTTATAAATGCGCAGAATGTGCAGTAAGCTTCAAGAATTTATTTGACTGCCTTCCCGGTCGAATTTTGAGCTGAAATTTGGTATGGACAAACTAGACTTGATGAGGAACATGCTAAAAAAATTTCATCAAAAAATTCTATCGGGAACCGCCCCAAACAGTAACGTTCGGACGGTCTCTCCCGTCCCTCCGGAGGGACCTGATCTTTTCTGTATATATATATATATATATATATATATATATATATATATATGTATATGTATATATATATGTATATATATATATGTATATATATGTGTGTGTATATATATATATATATATATATATATATGTATATATATACACACACACACACACACACACACATATGTAGGAAATCTTTCCGGTAAGGGTATACCTTACCGGAACCGCCGTGCGGCCTCCACGTTTTGAGGGCCTTCCCGGTGGAATTTTTCGATGAACTTTTTTGAGCATGTTCGCCATCAAGTCTAGTACATCCATACCAAATTTCAGCAAAAAATTCAATCGGGAAGGCAACCAAACGATTTTTGGAAGATAACTGCGTTTTATATTTATATAAAGGGTGCAGTTATCTTCCAAAAACCATTTGACTGCCTTCCAGATTGAATGTTTTGCTGCAATTTGGTATGGATGTACTAGACTTGATGAAGAACATGCTCAAAAAATTTGTTGGAACATATTGTTTTGTTGATGACAAACAAACTAGTGTTACTTTTGTCTATAAGTGATTGCAGGAAAGGAAGATAAGTCGTGCTTTGGAACAAGCCGTAGACCTGAACCCGGAACTATCCTACAACGGACATATATGTTTTGTTGATAACTAACCATGCAGGTGGAACGACGAACAGAACCACTATCAGTTCCATATGGAACGGAAGACAGAACTATCCTTAGTTATGTTCTGTGCGAACGGGAAAGCAATTCAAAATATCAAGGCAAGTCTCAAGATTAGAAGATCAACTATTCAAGGAAGGATGCTCAAACGGTCTGCCCAAGACTGCCTATATAAACGAAGCAGCCAAAGAGAAAAAAAGAGGAGCTTGACCGAGAAAAATCTTAAGAGACATATTCACAAAAGCAATATCAAAGTCCAAGGCGTCTGAAACTGCTCACTCGGAGTTCTAGATATAGTTTCTTCTTTCCCTTCTTCATATTGTAATGGGGTTTTGAGGATTGGCTAAGTGTAGCATCCTCGGGTTGGGTTAAGTGTTGTGAGAGCTTTGTTGTAAAGTTGAGAGGCTCTTTACCCGCAAGGTAGAGAAGCGTAACTCTTCCTAGAGAGGATAGAGTTGGGGTGGCTCAAGGGTAGACTAGGAGAGTTTCCCTTGTAATCATTCTAAGGTTTTTTAGTGAAGTTGTCAAAATTCCTCCGAGGGAGGTCGAGGTTTTTTAATCCCTTTGAGCCAAGGGATTTTTCCTCGTTAAATCCTTGTGCACTTTACTATTTTGCATATCCCTTTACCCCACACTAGAACTGAGCGAAAAACTGCCACGGTTCCACACATGCAATTCACCCCCCCTCTTGTGTTGCTAACCGTGTTCATCAATTGGTATCAGAGCCGGTCTTCACCACATAGAGGTTAATACCTTGGGAAGAGATCCGACAAAATGAATACGGTTGACCGATTGGAAGAAGGTTACTCGACTCAACGACCACCATTGTTCAATGGGAAATACTATCAATTCTGGAAGAGTCGGATGGAGAACTTTATCAAGGCCGATAATTATCAGGTATGGAATGTGATAGAAGGTGGCGACAATGTCATCACAAAGCTAAACGGCGAAGGTAATGTTGTTCCTAAACCTAAATCTGAATTTACTACTGATGATTATCAAAAACTCGAGCATAATGCCCAAGCACTAAAATATTTGATCTGTGGACTTGGTCCTTCCGAACACAATCGGGTTCTAGGATGCAAGTCTGCCAAACAAATGTGGGATTTGCTCGAGGTTACTCATGAAGGTACCTCACGTGTGAAAAAAATCTAAAATTGACATATTTATGCGTAATTACGAATTATTCGTAATGAAGCCTGGAGAGTCAATTAAGGATATGATTACACGTTTTACTAATATCATCAATGAGCTTT